GTGCAACAAGAACTTTAGATTTTTTCTTTAAGCGCTTACCTCCTTAACTCCCAGCCACACTGGGAGTTTTTAAAGCATCAGTGTTTTTAAGGAATCAGTGTTTTTAAATACAGTTACAAGTTTTTGTACTGCCTGACACGTTTTAATGCAGAAAAGTCTAATAAATTATCTCCAAGTCTAAGAGGAACTGGACCTAGTGGACTGTGTATGATTTTAGATGTACCCAGCTTAACTGGTGGCAGCCAGCTTGCCTCTGCCTGCTTGGTGCTACTAGAAGCTGCATCATACTCTCACCTACACCTCTTGCCACAGGTATTTCCATAGTATCACTGTTCAGTAATTCTGTTCCCTTGCCATAGTTATTTCCATACAATCACTGCTCAGTAATTCTGTTCCTCGTGTAAAAGCATACACTGTAAGCACAGTGGCTTATCCCAGGGATTCTCCAGCCAAGCCTAAGCTTGAACTTCTGTCCAATCACTCAGTATGAAACCTACACCATATAGTGGTTCACTGACTGCAGTTGCAGGCCTTGCCCTTACTGTATAACTTATATATGGTAGCTTAGTCCTGTGGTTCCTTCTCCCATCTCCACCTGGAAGACACTGATTTGTATTCCCTCTCCCCCACAGGATTTTGTTTAGAGATGGTTTGGCAATTGCTACACAGAGGGAATCAACTGTATGATGCTTATTATCAGCTCAGGAACACACAAGAAAGACTGTTCCTGTTAAATAAGATTTGAGGAAGGAGGAGCTGCATAGACATACTTTTTGGTGGGCTTTTTGAAATCCTAACAATTGCTATTGACATATGAACAGTTTACTGCTAGAGTCTTCATGGGAGGGACAGAAAACGTGCTAGAGTCACACAGTCCTCTGAAAGCTTTTCTCCATTGCAGGAAGAGTGTACAACCACATTTTACTTCCTTCCCAGACTTTTGAGTGATCCTAGATAGAACCTGACTATGCTCTGCCAAATGATCTGTTCAGCTCTCTGGGTAACGGTTCACACCAGAGTGGCTGCTCCAGCACTCCACAAGTTACAACAGCCAACAGACCAGAATATCGTGGAGAGGACAAGCAGCCACTGCAAAGAGGGCAAGATGCTGCAGGGCAAGAGATGTGCTTGCCCTCTGCGGTCTGGCAGGGCTCAGCTTGTGCTTTGCCGAGAGCCTGCCAATAATTTGAACTTGGCTCTTAAGGCAGGGGGAGGGAACATGCTACGTCAATGCAGCAGTGGGTGGGGTTAGGAAAGACAAATTGCAGGGAGTTTCATCAGCTGCAGGCTGCCCTTCCTTGGAGGAGAGCGAGAGAGAGCCTTTCAGGTAGCAAATAATGATGCAAACTGTAGCCCTATTTGCACGTGCAGTTTTCTGAACTGTACCATCCTACCTGCAGCTGTTGAGCTGCTCTCCTTCCAGGAGACAGCCTGTGCTGGAGAGCAGCTACGTTACTGTTAGTGGTGTCTAATACTTGACACACCGAGATTTCAAGAAGCATAAGAAGGTTGTTCTGGTGCGTGAAGCTCTGCTGGGAATCAGCAGAGGAAGGAATTATAGAGTCACTCCCATTAATGACAGTCCTAACATTGCAAAGTGACAAGTTTCCCTAAGTCCTCATACAAAGAGAAACAGCAACCAGTCTGGCAGGGTTGCCTCATGCTCCTGTGACAGTGGCACGTCTCATTTCCTACGTGTCTGGCAGGACCGGACTCTGCAGATGCCACTACCTGACATAAAAACAAGTTTAGAAGAGGCAAATCCCTTCAGTGACACAAGTCACCTCCACAGGGAAGGAAGCCTTTCTGCCTCTGCTTGTCCCAAGGGGAAGAACCTGATCTCATGGAGAGGAGGAAGTTGCAAAGCCCTTGAGATTTGCAAACCCCCTTAAGGTCGAAGCTATTTTATAAACAAACCAGGGGTTAGATGCGTGCCCTAGAAAACAGCTCTTTAATTAGGCTCTGGGGGAATTTGTGACTGCGAGGAAGCTCTCACCACAGCCTGTTCCACCCACAACAGCCCAAAGTGCTGTGCTCAGGGTGACGTGGCTGCCTGTCACCTCGGGCTGCACACCCCGGCTTACTCAGATAAGCCGGGAGCGCACGGTTGTAAACAGCAGCTCGCGTGCATTCTTTCCACACCACGGGATGGTATTTATAGGGCTGAGTGCAGGAAGCTTAGGAACGGCTGAAGGGTAGCCATCTCCAACTGTGACCCAGCTCCAACAGCAGCAGGGTAGGCAAGCAAGCTCAATAAAACATCTTTATTCTGTACATTTATATATAGATGCTTGGGGAACAGGGACAGCCCCCAGCATTAGAAAAATTCGAGACAACAAAACAGCAATTATGAAGAGCATGGCACCAAGAACAGTCATGCCACAGATGGCAGGGATGAGGTGAGACCAGCCATTGGCTGCTTCAGAAAAAGTCACAGCACCCCATGCCCGCTTTGGGGCAGAAAACACCAGGGCTGCTGCAAAGAGCTAGAGTCCCCCCACCCCAGGCAGCTTTCTTCATGACCCACTAGCACCAAAGAGAAGAGACTGCTGGCAGCTGGGGCTTGTCCTTGTAGGCATCGGTGAAAAGACCATTACACCGGAACACCCAGACCACTGGCAGAATGAGAAAAAAAGGGATCCTGCTCAAGCAGTAACCCCAAGCCAGCAGCTCCTTTCTCACTGCTGGGCTGATGGAGATGCAGCAGAGTTTTCAGCTGGTTCAGTGCTCCCTCCAAGGGACAGGTCACCACCGAGCTGCCTTCCCTTCATTGATACCAGCATTTCACCAGCTCCCCCAAGCCTCAGCATGCTCTTTGCAGGCTGCAGCTGCCACCTCACCCCTGTGAGAGCACAGCCCAGTGCAGAGTGCTGTTCTCTGACACCCACAGATCCACACGGGTCGCACAGTTCGCAGGCACAGCCTGTGCCAGCAGCCCAGAAGCAGAACTTGCTCTCAGAATGGTAGAAAGGCCAGCTGGGTGTCCAAGTGCTATCACAGGCCCTTGTCCTTCTCTTCAGTCAGGGCTAGCAGGCCACCACACCATGCAACAGGGCTGGCTGAAGGCCTGTTGCTCACAGCAGACACATTTGGCCTTCAAGCCAACAAAAAACCCAAAAAGCCTATGTACAGCTTTACAGCCCCTGCTGCACCCTCCAGGCTACACAGGGGAGCTGCTTGACAGGGAGTGGGAGACAAATATGCTCCACTCTACACACAGAGTCCTTGCTGGCAACAGCAGCTCTCCTCTGACAAGAAACCCCAGTGGCAAGGGAAAGAAAGGAATTCTTCCTCCAGGAGGAACAGAAATAAATCACGCCACTGTCAAATCACATCTAAACAACAGAAGTCACCTGGTTTTGTGTAGGTAATGCACTCTGTCCTCCTCACACATTAAGGCAAGTGTGTGAGGAGCAAGCTGGGCTGGGAACAGCCACACCAGGGAGTCCACTGCAAACCACTGCTACCAATGTGCAGATGACACTGTCAGCTGAATATCCATGGAAACAACCTGAACACACCAGCACAGACCCGGGCCCTGCTCTGCTCCACAGAATGCCCTCCTGTCCAGCTGCTGCAAGGAACAGATGCAAGTACAAACTCTGTCTTCGTGGCATTGCGTCAGGAGGCTGTGCCACTGGAAGCAGCCACAGCTTCCTGGGAGTCAGAAAGTGGGATGCTGAAGAAATTCATACATGTGAGTGGGGAACAGGACATTTGTCCAACAGTAAGACACTCAGACTGGAGTAATGCAAAACCAACACACAAATGGACACACAGCAGATTAAAGCCAACCAAGATTCAAACAGTTAAAAAGTGTCCTGGATGCATTCTGACAGGTTCAACCAAGCCCCTGCTGTGGGTAGCCAGGGCCTATTCCATCCCCTGCCTAGAAGGATGTGCTGCAGGATGACTTGAGAGAGGTCTGTTACCAACCCAGTGCTCAGAGAGCAGAAATGAGGCCAGATCTTGTGTCCGAGATGGAAAAACATCCCTTCACTGCTCATCTTCAAGAGCTCTGCTCCTCCCAACCAGTAATTTTCAAACAGTAAACAAAGCCAGAACTTGCCTGCCCAGGTCTGCAGGTGACTGATCTATTCTGAAGGAGGGCAGGGTAATGAAAGCTGCAGGCGATGTGGAGAACATGCTGAACTTGCCCCACATACAGCACTGAATGTGAGAAACTCTCTCAGGCTCCATCTCACAGTGCAGAGAAGGGACATCCACCCTAGAATGGGACAGCAGCAGCTCCAGGCATCACTCAGAAAGCCACAGGAGCTTCCATCCTTATCCCCAGGTGCTGGTGAATGGAGGTTTCTCTGACCTACTGGTAGTCAGAAGCTCAGCTGTCCAGGCCCCAGGGATTCCTCCAGGCCGTTTTCTTTGGTGATGATGGCTTGGAGGTCAGTGACATGCCCAATACCTTTGGTGACTCCTTCACGGAAAAGCAGTTTGGCTCCGATCTTCAAGTATTCAGGATGCTTGATGAACCTGAAACAGACAACTGCCTTCTCTCCTGTTCGTAGCTTGTCCTGAAAAGAAAAATGGGAGAGCTTAGACCCATCCACCAAACCAATGCATTCAGCACAGGTCCATGTGGATGGTAACAAGATGAAGCAAATGAGCAGGTTGTCTCCCTTAGACTGCATGGTTTAAGCCCCTCCCATTATTGTATGCATAAAGAGAGACAAGAGGAGCTCTGGAGAATGGGATGTTCAAGTCTCTTCACAGTCTTGCTGTAGTCCATCATGCTGCTTGTTTTGTGAGGAGGGAATTCTTTAACACGTTGGGAGAAAAACCAACCAAATGGGCAGCATAAAGGGATGGAGTGTGCTCCTAGGAAGGGACACAGCTACTCAAAATACCAGTAGCCCCTAGCTTTACTAGAGGGCATGGTGGAATCCCAACAAACCCCACAGGGAGGGCCATCTTCCTCCCCTTTCTTCCCATGGCCTACCTTTCCATGGATCTTCTCTACGATAGCTGTCTGTCGCACATTCCCCACGTGCACCGTCACCTGAAACCCCTTCCGGAAAGTTGTGGCATGGAACAACAGCACAATCTCGGCTTCAAACACTGAGCAGATGGTGGGGTTCATTTCTGGGCTCACCATGACCATGCCCTGCAGAACAACCCAAGGCTCAGACCACTTAGGACCAGTCCCCTTGCTTCTGAAGAACCCCAAAAACCACACACGCTTGTCCACTCTGTGACTTGGGCTTGTATCCCATTCTCAGCCTCGTACGCATCCTACTCGGTAGCCTGGCTGTTTCCTCCCCTTCCAGTAAGCTTCCTGAAAACATCTCTACTTCATTCCCACCCTACCACTGGGGGATTTCCAGGGAAGCCTCCGGTCCTGCTCACTGTACTAGCGAACAACTTGGCACTGGTGGGACTCACCTTGCGCAGCAGGGAGCGATCGAAGGGTCCGAGGGCCAGGGTGGCTGCCTGCCCTGCCCGCAGCACGCGGCAGGCAGAGCGGTTGCGTTGGATACTGCACACTTTCAGCCGGAGGAACTTCCCATCATCAGTGGGACCAACCACCAAGTTCTCCCCTTCTCGGCAGATCCCACTATCCAGGGCAGAAGAACAGGCCACAGTCCATCAGGAGACATGAAAGAAATATCACTCTCCAAGATCAATGTGTACAAATTCCCCAGGGCCAAGGAGGTGATTGTCTTTGGACTCTTACCCAGGACCAACTAACATGGATGCAAACCTCACAACAACAGGGATTTCCTACAGGAGTGAAAGCTACACTATCACTCCTAAGAATCCCAAGTACAGACAGGGGCCATTCTGTCCCCAGAGCTCTGCCATACTGTGTTGTTTCTGGCGGAGAGACTTCGGTTGATGCCTGTTCTGTGCGGATGTGCTGGCAGCCAAACTGCTCTGATTACTCCCCAACACAGAGGGACAGCTGCCTTTGCATGAGGAATTCCAGCTGCCCTGCTGGAATTGGAGGATCTGCCCTCTAAATTTCCTTCCCCTGCTTGAGGAAGGAGGAAAGCAATGCCTTGGAATCATGGCTAACCTCTGCCAACTCTGGATCCCAGCACTCCTTCTGTCAGCATGCTACAGGGCACACTCCTAATCCAGCAACTTCAGAGCAGCCTCTCTGCCACCGCATGACCACTGGTCGGCTCATGGCACCTCCCAACACCCTGCAGGGCTCTACCCTCACCTGGCTGAGTTGTCTGGCAGAGTCAGGACTGAGTGTCACACAAATTCCACATCTGCAGTGGGTGACTCTAACCTTATGAGAACTCCAGCAACCATTCATATCCACACGTCTGCCTGGCATCACTTACCTTGACAGAGTTCCTCCCACAACAGTCCCCACCTCTGGCACAGTATAAATTTCATCGACCTGGAGCAAGGCAACAAGAATAAGCTGCTCAGACAGACAGCTGTGAAACAGCACTCCAGAATGAGGACAAGGTGTTCACCCCCTCATGTGGAAGGTGAGATCTCTGCTGGTCATCAGACACCATCTTGTAGCTTTTCCATCTCCCACTACCTTCCCATTAGAGGAACCTCTGCCTTTTAAGTGGCAACTATAGAAACTATCTTATTCCTGAGATGGACATTCCTTGGTTAGGACACAGCCCATCCTATCAGGCTTTTCTCAAGGACCAAGTCCTTTCTTTGATGTCTCCCAATACTCCAGGAGTTCACCATGTCTCTACCCATAGTGCCCAAATTCCCCAGACATTTCTCCCATGGCACAGCAAACAGTGCAGAACCAGAACTGGAAATGAACTACTCTTACACACCTGAAATTCGGTAAGTTGCTGCATTAGTTCTTCCTGCTCTTTACTGTTGGTCAGTGGAGGGAGGATGTTGAGGAAGACTTTTAAGAGATCCAGGTTCTCCCCAGAAACACTGGACAGTGTGAAGATTGGAGTGATGCTGTCAGACACAAATGGACAGAAATAAGCAAAAGGTGTCTGGGATTCTAATTCTATTGAGACCATCAGGAGGACAGAGACTACACCAGTAAGTGACCAGAGCAGAAGGGCTAGGTACAACTGTGCAGTAACCCCTGCCTCCATGCTTGGTTGAGGCACCAAACCCCTGCCAACCCACACTTCTGTCATGGAGAAGTAACTCCAGAGCAGCCTTGAGCACCTTCTGCTCCCAGAGCCCAGAAAAAGGTCTGGGAGGAGAAAATGCCTTACTGGAGAATGCAAAGGTAGAAAACTTGATAAGGAACTGAGATGTTCAAGATGTGGTCACCTCCCCTGTGGTCGCCCTTCCCCAGCTCCACGGGGCAGCCCAGTCTGAATTGTCTGCTCCCAGCAGAAGAAAGGAATGGCCCCTTACTTGGGAGATTGTGCAAACTGTTGGGCTGCTGTAACAGCATCGTCATCTGAGTTTACAAGCAGGGGGAGCTTGTTGCAGCCTGGCTGCTTCAGGATTCGCTCCAGCTGCTTCACTGTCCGTTCCACGGTGGCTTTCGAACACAAGTCGACTTTGCTGATGACAATGAAGAAGGGAACCTTGAGGGCCATAGCCAAGCCCAAGTGCTCTCGCGTTGTGCCTGCTGCAGGAGAGAATTGAGAGTGCAGGTGCAGTAGCAGTCATCACTGTTGCTTGTTTATGCGACGGCTATGTCTCTGGGCTATCCCACAGGCCCACTCTAGACATTTCACTGTAACTGCTTAGTTCATCAGGCAGTGAAAACACAAAAAGCCTCTTTTAAACAAAACCAAACATCAGTCCAGAAATATAAAAACCACCAAGAATTTTTGTGACTGCTTCAGAAAGATGCAGTAGTTTTTATTCTCGGGCTAGAATTTGCCAGAAAATAGCCACAAAAATGCCAAAGAAAGATGTGGGAGAACTCCGGCTGCATTTTTACAAGGCTTCAGGAGTCAGCAACCCTAAGGATATGTCAAACTCATTTTCGTTTCTGACAAACACAGCCCCAAATTCCAAACAAAGCCTTTCTGCCTAGGATACAGTTTAATGCAGTCTACAGCTGTTAAGAGGATCCCAGCTCTACTCCCCTCACAGGCACTCACAGGCACTGGCTTAAATCTTGGAAGTAGAGGCTTCCAGACTAATAATTTCTTCTGACAACTGTTCCCAGGAAACAAAGACCCAGTTTCCCCATTCTCCATTTCCCTTCACACACTGCTGTCAATCCAAGCAGGCAGGACAACACTCACCAATGCCAGTGTTGGCGCTAACCACCAGCATGGCAAAGTCTGGGCAGTAGCTGGTGAGGCCAAAGATGGTTGTTTTCAGATACTTGTGGTGGCCAGCCAGGTCAATGAAAGTGATCATTTTGGAAGAACTCTCGCAGATCTCTTCTGCTGTCCGGGAGTCACTGTAATTTACCACCTAGGGAACATAAGGACTTGGTGAGAGAAAGAGCCTCAGCAGATAAGTAAAACAAACTCAGCTCTTATCTATCCGCTTTTATCTCAGAATTAGTAAGGAGAGATCATTCACCATTGGTGCAAGAAACAATGTCTGTTGCAAATGGACAAATAGCACTCAGGCTCAGCTAAACGGACACAGAGCTGTGGCACCTCTCTTCCCTCATGTCCCACTCACAGCTGTAACAGGAGGGTAGTCCTGTTCTCCAGCTTTCTGAGTTTGGCAGCCCCCACCCTCACCTCTCCTTTGCTGTTGAAGCCAAGGATCTCAAAGCTGATGCTTGACGTTCTTCCTGACTGGATTTCATGGAGATGCCGGAAGAGGTTGAGGCGTGCTCTGCCCCGCCCGTTGTCCAGCTCTCCTTGCGTTAGGACACCCAACAGTGTTGACTTCCCTGAGTCCACATTCCCCAGCACAGCTACTCGAAGGTCTAAGAACTACAGGAAAAAGAAAAGAGAAATCATGAAACTTAATCACTGCTGTGCTGAGTGTGCATAAACATTACATGGCAGTGGAGGTGCACCTCACAGAGCTTCTCTCCACGAGGGACACTCTGCAGTGTGATCTTGCTCAGATTCTGCTCTTACTCCCAACAAACCACTCTCTAGAGTTGTGATGTGACACATCAGGCTTTGATAGTGAAATAATTTTACACCTCAGATCCAGGCAGGCAATCTTCTCCACTGGTATCTGCTTCAACCACAATCTTGGAGATAAGAAGCATTATCATCAAGCCTCTGCTGGCAGCTCTTTAAAGCACCTGCTATGGACCAATCTATGACAACGTGCCTCTAGGGTCTGGGCTCCCATCCCAAAAGGAAGCTGCTTGTATGAAGCCTCTAAGTCTCCAGCAGGAGAGGAGAGCCAAGTCACAGGTCCCTACCTGCTGGTTGTCAGGCACCTTTCGGACAAGCACCTCCGTTATCTTCCTTGGAACGTCGCTGTCGTAATCGACCTCTCTCTCCCGCAGCACCGTAATGTCAGCCCCAACCCTGCCACAAAGATGAAAGGAAGGAGTGAGACTCAACAGCTCTTGAACCTCTACGTTAACAGCTGATGTGAATGGGATGAAAGCTGGGGATAGCAGGGAAGGAGCCTCAGTTTTCCAGACAAAAGCTCTATCACTTCCTTCATGTTTTCAGGGCCTCATGATTGAAAAAATTTCAGGGGCTTTGTAGAATGGAGCCACTGGCTGCTCAGGGGACTCCTGGGGCCGAGGCTGTTCACGCCTGTGGGCCCTGCAAAGGAAAGGGAACACATACTTCTCTGCCATACGGCGCAGTGTCTTGAGCGAGGCACGCATCTCCTCCTCTGACAGCCCCACCAGCAGCCCGTTGTCCTCCACGCCGATCTGATAGACGGCCTCACCTCGGCCCTCCTGCAGGCGCCACTTCATCTGCGTCACCAGGTGCTCAAAGCGATATTGCGAGGGGTTCACCAGCTTCAGCTGTTCAACAGAGGGGCAGTTTTAGTCACAGCCTGGATGCAGAGGGAATCCCATTGCCCAAGCCTGCAACTCCCAGTAACTGTGAAGCAATGCTCCCAACTGACCCACCTCTAGAACGCACAGCCTACGGTGTCTATACAGAAGCCATGGGACAGGTGAGAAAAGGGTTTCATAAAGGTGCATACATATGGTAAAAGAACTTTCCTGCACTGTGACAAAGGAATTGGCAACCTGCCTGCTGTGGGGGTAAAGACAGCACTCTGGGACCCATCTGTGATACAAGAGCCAAGTAAGTGCAAATGTCAGAGCAGCCACAGGAAAGTGCCAAATCATTATCAGGGACACCCGTGGCCCTCTCTCAAAAAAATGTAAATTTCAGGAAAAACACAGTGGGCCTCATCTCCTAAAACAGATTCCTAAAAATGAGTACTGAGATCAAATTCTTCCAGCTCCGCATACTGTGTATTGCCAGGCAGAGAGACACAGAAGATGACTGATAGTTCCTTAGTACAGTGTCCACTGTTTTGTCCCTTCCTTGGTTGTGTTACCCACAGGCTGGGTTTGGTGAAGTTACTCACTGAAAAATAACCCTCTGGGAGGAAGACCTCCTTCTGCAACCCCAAAAGGCTCACCTTGTACTCGATGTTTCCATCTTCTGCCTGTCAAAGAATGAAACAAGAGAGAAGGGTTAGATGCTGTGCTTGTGAGGGCTTCTATGGGCATCAGCTGCCCAGATACTCTGCAGCTGGTGCTGAGGATTTCAGAGAGAGGGCAGGAATAGACTGTGTTAGGTCCCAGCCTCTTCTGCCATTCATTCCTGCACTCAACTGGAACTTCCTTTGGGTTTGTTTCTGCTGTTTTCATCCCACATAGAAACCAGAGGACAAAACTGGAGTGGGACATGGGGGTAACACTGCCCGGGGTTTGTTTTTTTTACTGACAGTAAAGAATAGGGCCAGCCTAACAGTCACACAGAGAGAGAGTTCCAGTTTCAAAAAGGCACAGACCAGCATATGATTTAAAGTCTCCCCCTCACCCATCCATGACCTGCAAAACGCCACCCACAGCATCCCACTCCCACCCTATCCAGCAGCTTCCATCCATCCAATGTGCACAGAAACAGGGGACTGGAAACAAGTCACTGCCTCCTCTCCTGCACACTGATACATGCCCTCACTCAATTAGTTTTTCCTTGACTCCTTTCCATATCCTTGTTTGCCTTCTCTCTGCAAGAGAGGACTATAGACACAAGGAACCAAGGAACTGACTTCTTTGCAGTACAGCAAGCTAGTCACTGGGCCTGGCAGATCTGGAGAACCACACCTGATCAGGACTGTCTGTACACAATGTACACAGTACAACTTTCCCAGGAAGGACTTAAGCCAGACAGGGCTGTCACAGCAAGGCCTGAGTACTGTTCAAGTTCACTCCAACCACAACAGGCTCCAACTTTCCAAAGGGAATGTACAGCAAATATTGAAGTAATTTTCCCATGGATTTGGTA